AAAGTGGGAATAATACCTATCCCCTGTCCAAGGACCGGGGTCTAGGATTACCAGTCCACCCGATGATCTGGGGCAGGCAAAAAACCCAGTGGCAAAAACTCATATTTGAGGAAAAAGCACATCTGGGGAAAACCTGAATGGGGGCCGCGATCATGTTAGACATGTCCTCCCCTCACAGTTGACACCACTTGTGACTAATAATACCCGCACCTGTGAGTACATAGCTCGGGTATCGGGAGGAATTGGGAAACACTTCTTACATATTAATTCATGAGATAAATTATAATCTAGCTTGAAATTCTGACAATAATCACAACCAGGACCTTGCGTCCTATATCTTTTAACCATTTCCCTATTCCAAAGGTCCAGTCAAAATCAGTCATATCCTTACGCAGTTCCTCAAAACATGGGAATCCATCCTTGGCACACTCAACATATATCAAAAACACACATAGTACATCCATCCCTGGGTCAGCTAACACTTCCTCTCTCTCCGGCTAACTCTGCAAAAGCAAAAATAAAAATAAAAATAGTTCAATAGTTCAGCATAGTTCAGAAAAATAGAATAAGTCTTTCACAGAGTATAAAGAAATCAGTTTAGACACCAGACATTTTGTTCCATAAAATGGCTAGGGTAGCAATATGGCTGACAACAAGACAATGTCAGCTTCCACATAGTTCTTTTGTTTGCTGGATTTTCACCACAATGCTCTGTGCAACACCCCAATGGTTGAAAGGGTTATTACAGAACCAGCGGTATTAGACAGCACTGCACCTTCAGGACTTTCCAGGTTCTTGCGTGCAAAGTTTATGTCCTCATAAGTGTCCAGTTTCTTCGGCCTGCATGGATAATGACCAAACAGATGTAATTGCAAAATACTTTTTGCATGGTCAGCCAGAGAGATTGGTGTGTAGTCCCAGAAATCAGGCGGCACAAACACTCCAGGACGGTCTCTACAATCATACAAACACAAGGATCAGTACAACATCAATTAATTAATTACCTATTGTGAAGAAATGACTCCGTTAATCAGGATTTCTACTTTTTTGTACAGTTAATTCACCAAATTCAGCTGGAATTCGGCATATAGCTTTCATTTCTACCCTTCGGATGGATTCAGGCGAATTCCCTGTGTAAAATATAGGTGGCCGCCATTTCGGCACTTTACACGTGGCCGCGGCCATTTTCCGTGCGAACAGCGGTGTTTGCCCGTCAACGCGTGGAACTAAAATCGGATACGCGAACACCGCTGAGACCTCCATACATCCAGAACTTCGCACGGGAACGACCGAATCACCGGCCGTTCGGTAGTTACATGTAACTTAGTATGGGGATTTCAACGATCACAAAGATGCGAATGGATGGCAGGGCTTTCGTCTCTTTTATTCGCCTAAACGGAGACCGACCGCAGGGCCAAAACTATTTTCGGCTAGATGGTCCGTGCGGTCGGTCAAAACTTTAGTGTTCCATAACTCCCGAACCATTCATCCGAATGGACTGATTTTTTGATATGTTGTCCCCACAAATGAGAACTATCCAGCGGATAAAGGATTTAAAGGTGTACCCCCTGTTTTTGGGGTAAAATAGTGCACGTTTTAATGAAGTTAACTGTTTATCAGAGGGGAGGGAGGTGTGGGCTGTAACCTATACCTGATTGGTGATTTAATGCCTCCCCCTGGGTGTGTACTTTTTGTCTGTAACCTCAATAAAAAGCAGGCTGGAGATTCCAGACCTCAGATCTACTTGTATCCTGATTCTGGACTCTGACTGTTATTTGGGAATTCGTATGCTTTACCAAGGGGATTATCTTGGGAAGCTGTTATATTTCTTATGGACTTCATTGCTTAGAACTACCTTAGACGCTGGCATTGCAGGAGGAATTATCAAAGCGGTTCAGCTATACTTGATTTCCTTACACCTATGCTAATACTTAAATTAGAGAGTAAGGTTAAACCCCTAATTTGTGTAACATGTACTTCTCTCATATTTGCTTATATTTTATGCAATCTGTCTTCTATGAAGTTTTACATAATATCCCTTTGGAATGCCTTTGTACGGATGAGAGAAACATTCACTCTATAGAAATGCTTGTTAGGATGAATATTAAAACACTAACATATACATTCCCAATAAAACTCTGTTCCTAAACTTGAACCTTGATTTGATACTCAAAATTAATTACTTTAATAATCTCGAATAATTCAATACTCTTGGATTAACACCTAAAACTATATAAAATATTAAAAACATGAACCATCTGTGTATTAGGCTGGGATTTTTGGTGTGGGTATAGGTTGGAAGCTGTAGTTGGTATTGAGGAATCTGTGGGGGTGGGTTTGGGCACTAATTTTTTTTCCAGTGACCCTGCTATCCACAATTAGAACAGTGTGTTCCACCAATGCTGAAGTTGCTATCTCTAAAAAGTTAGACCCTTTGACCAAATCCTCTACCTCTGCCTTTAAAACTTTTCTGATTCAATCTCCTATCACTTCCCAAATTTCTTTCTTGCCTGCTTAGGATCACAATCCTTGTGACTGATACAACATACCTTTTCCCTCTTTCTTTCTATCATAACAACCTGCTTTATCTTTCTCATGAATCTTCCCAAGAAATTCATGGGGGGTTAAAAAGGGCCAGTCACAGACCAGCAAGGAACAAAAGTGAACAAGGAGGAAGCATATTCCATATGCAGGTCGGGATTACCGAACTCACACCCCCTCTTTGTGTACCACACAGATATAATATTAATAAGCTTTTAAACGTTTAATGGATAGTTAAATTGTGTATATAAAGCAAGGTTGTCTAGGGGTATATACATTGACAATGAAAGCATAGCCTTCATATAGGGCTTGCAATACTGACAGTCTGTGTCATGAGCATAATGCCGACATGAAGTTAGGTACTTTTCCATTGTTATAATATATTGAAAACATTAAGACTTTGCACATTTTTAAAACGCCTATTGCTTCCTGTACCTGGTGCCGTGCAAGGATGTAGTTGGGACATATTTCAAATAGAGTATCAAAAGTCTAACCACAAAACTAAATGTTATACACTTTTTAAGAAAGAAAGTTTAATCCGTTAGTGCGTACTTTGGATAGCCTCTTTGCATAATTTGGCATCTAGTGAGATTATTATATTATCTATTAATCCTCTTCTGGATCTGCAAAATGCTTTCAATTTACCCATACAAATATAATACTGTAGTTTAGTAGATTAAGATTACTTCACTTACGGGGGGCGGAGCCTAGCAGCTGCACGGAATGGTTGCACACACTGAGAGCTCCGCACAATCTGGCTCCTAAACAAGCGAAAAGGGCAATCCAGCGACCCAAAACCTACAGCCCTCGATACCACAAAGGCAGGAGACACCCCTGGATCCTACACCAGTGGTGCTTCCAACCATGATCGGTAGGTAACCCCGGAGGAAGATCCGTGGCCTACAAGAGGCCTAGTTTCAGCGCACGAGAGGGAGGCGGCGGATCCCTCAGCCTGCTATCGAGCACTTACCCGGGGGGACCAGCCCGTAACCTCTCCCCCCCCCCCAGCCGGTGGGGGTTATCCCGGCAACTTTCAACGGTGGCTAACTCATGAAGCTCCTGCCACAATACACTCAGGAATACCCACCCATCGAGACCAAGATGGCGGGAACCTCGTGCATCGCACTGCCTCAACCTAATCGACTAACCCTACAGGAGAGGCTTGACGCCTTATTTGCAAACTTCTGGGCCACGCTAGCCACACGCCAGCACAAGCCAGACGGAGCCCAGCCAGAGCCAACCTCGCAACTCATGGCGAGGCAGCCCGCGTCCGTGGTGCCACTAAAGAAGAAACGGAGGGCGCCTCAACAAACACAGCACCGAAGAATCCACGTGGCACGGTCCAGCAACCGCCCTGACGCACAATCCCAACAGGGAAAATCACGAAACCCACCGGCGGCAAAGCTCTACTTCAAGCACTCACAGGTGGCACTTGCTTTTTTCTAGGGGGGAGGCCCGAGGTGGACCCAAGCGCCCCCTGTCTCCCTCCGCTCCGGGCATTTGTTCTGCCTCAAACAAATGCCCGGAGCGGAGGGAGACAGGGGGCGCTTGGGTCCACCTCGGGCCTCCCCCCTAGAAAAAAGCAAGTGCCCGCTGTGGTCCGCTCACCCAGACCAGGGACCGCCGGAAAAAAGACCCCGCAGCATAAACCATGCGGCCAGAGGACCAACTGCAAATTGCGGCTTACCACCGTCATGGCCTTCTACCTAACATCAGAGAAGGACTGGGACTCTGCGAGCTTGCAGGTACATGACTCAAAGACGCTATCCAGAAAACCGACCTGGGGCTTAGGAGGGGTCCGTCGACAAGCCCAAGCTACTACTGCTCCCAACACTCCCAGGAAGCACAGCACATGTATATGTGACCAAGGCATCGGTTAAACTGACGTTTACAAGTGAGGACTGACCTTAGGATTACATGCTTACCTTGTGCATAGCAGATACCTTCATATTCCAATTTCCCTTGCCTTACTACATCCCTTTATATCACTTTATGGGGCTCCATGACTTGATGAGGTTCTGTGCCACTGAATGTACCCCAGAGGCTCCCTAAGTGAATTTTGCTCATACCTATAGTGCTACCGATGTTCAAGCTACCATCTATCTATGATACCTTAACACTCCCATGCTGTCAGTTAGCTTAACCTGTTTCATTATTGTTTTCTGACATATGTTTGCCATTTCCTCGTTTCACTATATACTAAAAATTGTGCCTAGCTTGTTTCATGTTTCATCACAATAACACTTGTGTCTTTGATTGCATGGCCGCCCTCCCTCCGCAGTGAGGGCCACACACCATATTGCGGCGCTCCGGGGTTAATCTCCCAGGCAGCATTATACCGGCCCACTCAAACAATCTCCCCCAGATTACATTGGTTATACACACACACATCGCTTACAAACCAGCATGCTAAATATGTTATGGCCTGTCTACATCATGGAGGGGACACGTATGTTGCCACATGCCTTAGCCTGCACCAAGCCCGACCCAAACAAAACTATTCTCTTGTACCACAATCACACTTAGCATACTCAAGATATATCGCTCACTACACTATGACACTGTCCCACAACATGTGCTATTCTGAGCTATACACTATTTCACTCTATTACAACTACAAATATGCAACGTCTGCTTTTTTTTTCTATGTTATTATCTCCGAGTTGATTATTAAGCATGTTATCACGTTATATTCCATAAAATATAGTGCACAGTAATAACCTGCCATACCTATGTACCAAAATGTCTAACTAATTTTGCTTGATGATGCTGTTGTGGCTCCATAAGCATGTCTGTTATCACCCGCACTGCAAAAATAAAGAATAAAAAAAAAAAAAAAGATTACTTCACTTACAAATTTCAGAAATTGTCTAATCTCTAATAAAAATACCATTTTATTACTACCCCATAACCAATGAGGCATACTAGATGAATCTTGACATAAACAAAGCAATATACTTTAAAAGTAGAGTTAACTCTGAGCTGGACAATACTCCCCTATTAGAACTCCTTTATGAGGGAGATACATCTTGTCCATTCAATCCTTTTTATCAGTAAAAGAATGACTTTCAGGATTAATCAGTTTGCAAATGGAAACGTGGATCCACGATTTGAACAGCAGAAGTTTGCGGGGCCCCTTTCACGTGGGATGTAACAAGCACTTTTCTTGCTCCAGGAGCGATAGCATACAATTGTTTCATTCTAGCAGTCTGGACAGCATTTCACCTTTTGTAAAAAACACTAAATGCTTGCGTTAATGATATGCAAATCACTCTGCTAGTTAAACTCCTACACAATGGATAATAAAATACATGAAACACATAACACACCAATTCATTTCAAACCATATAACTCACACTCAGCATCCAATGTAATATTACATTTCATCTCACAAAACAGACATAGTAGATACACATAACAAGTACCCAGCAGATATGTCAATACAGAAAACACATTCATGGACACGCAAATACACACTCTGTGTCCCTCCTAGGAAACACGGGTAGACACAATATGAAAGAAGTCTTAAACTAACACCTCTAAATCTCCATTCCCATATAGCTATATCAGACCACAACACAGAGCCTCTCTGAGCTCATAGAACTACTCCAACTCCAACTACTCTTGGCCAAAACGCTAGTATTCAACAGCTAATAAAACAGTTATTTGCTAAGTTATTTGCCTGGCATTTGTATCAGTATCACTAGACTGAGAAAAACTGATTCAAATATAATTTAAAACAACACAGCAACATATAAATTAAACCATTTTCCAGTTAAGCTGCACACTTCACACATTATCACAATCACCATTTACACAGAATAAACAGTTAACAGCTGTACTCAGAACATATTATTGTAAGGTATACTTCCATTAACTAATCTGAGATGATGATGCATCAACTTAAATCTTATAGAAATTGTGCAAACATCTGGACCAGATTACACAGACATGGTTTCACCCGAATCTTTAAGAACTCTCAGAGACTTAAATTTTTTTTTATACTATGCCATGTTATAAGGCATGGCAAACCTTAGACCAGTCAGTCTCCAAGAGCCTTAGTAATACAGGTAGAAACCTTTGTCCATGATCTCTGATTCAGGCTATATACCACAATTTAAAAGAACACATATAATGTGAGACATAGAAGACACAAAACATATGCAGTAGCTGAATCATTTTAAGCATCTGTAGCAATAAAAAGGTTAGCTTACAGCACAAAATGAAGCATGTGTTGGACCGCTGAAAATGTAAATGTTGCTCTCTTATTTACAAACAAAAATCATATTTACAGTATGGATCCTTTGCAACAAACACACAGGGCAGGGAAGATGTGCTGATTGGTGTTCTATACAATTAATCCCATACGGGGAATTAACTTTCAAATACTAATGAAGTGACTTTTTGTCTCAGTATAAAAATACTGAGCTCATCATGCAAACAATGTAACACATTTACACTATCCCACTTCCATAGAAAGTGTAGTGGGCTTATGGTATTAAAGTAACAATCATACCAGGCACACAGATCCCATGTGAAATAATTTACAAAAAAAAATAGAGTAATAAACTATACTTCTATGCGACAAAAAGAATAAAGCAAAAGATTTAAGTAGGTCTATCAGGTACAACCTGCGAGTCAGTTCTTTTTTAATATACAGTACTGGTATCTTATATATATATATATATATACAGGGAGTGCAGAATTATTAGGCAAATGAGTATTTTGACCACATCATCCTCTTTATGCATGTTGTCTTACTCCAAGCTGTATAGGCTCGAAAGCCTACTACCAATTAAGCATATTAGGTGATGTGCATCTCTGTAATGAGAAGGGGTGTGGTCTAATGACATCAACACCCTATATCAGGTGTGCATAATTATTAGGCAACTTCCTTTCCTTTGGCAAAATGGGTCAAAAGAAGGACTTGACAGGCTCAGAAAAGTCAAAAATAGTGAGATATCTTGCAGAGGGATGCAGCACTCTTAAAATTGCAAAGCTTCTGAAGCGTGATCATCGAACAATCAAGCGTTTCATTCAAAATAGTCAACAGGGTCGCAAGAAGCGTGTGGAAAAACCAAGGCGCAAAATAACTGCCCATGAACTGAGAAAAGTCAAGCGTGCAGCTGCCACGATGCCACTTGCCACCAGTTTGGCCATATTTCAGAGCTGCAACATCACTGGAGTGCCCAAAAGCACAAGGTGTGCAATACTCAGAGACATGGCCAAGGTAAGAAAGGCTGAAAGACGACCACCACTGAACAAGACACACAAGCTGAAACGTCAAGACTGGGCCAAGAAATATCTCAAGACTGATTTTTCTAAGGTTTTATGGACTGATGAAATGAGAGTGAGTCTTGATGGGCCAGATGGATGGGCCCGTGGCTGGATTGGTAAAGGGCAGAGAGCTCCAGTCCGACTCAGACGCCAGCAAGGTGGAGGTGGAGTACTGGTTTGGGCTGGTATCATCAAAGATGAGCTTGTGGGGCCTTTTCGGGTTGAGGATGGAGTCAAGCTCAACTCCCAGTCCTACTGCCAGTTCCTGGAAGACACCTTCTTCAAGCAGTGGTACAGGAAGAAGTCTGCATCCTTCAAGAAAAACATGATTTTCATGCAGGACAATGCTCCATCACACGCGTCCAAGTACTCCACAGCGTGGCTGGCAAGAAAGGGTATAAAAGAAGAAAATCTAATGACATGGCCTCCTTGTTCACCTGATCTGAACCCCATTGAGAACCTGTGGTCCATCATCAAATGTGAGATTTACAAGGAGGGAAAACAGTACACCTCTCTGAACAGTGTCTGGGAGGCTGTGGTTGCTGCTGCACGCAATGTTGATGGTGAACAGATCAAAACACTGACAGAATCCATGGATGGCAGGCTTTTGAGTGTCCTTGCAAAGAAAGGTGGCTATATTGGTCACTGATTTGTTTTTGTTTTGTTTTTGAATGTCAGAAATGTATATTTGTGAATGTTGAGATGTTATATTGGTTTCACTGGTAATAATAAATAATTGAAATGGGTATATATTTGTTTTTTGTTAAGTTGCCTAATAATTATGCACAGTAATAGTCACCTGCACACACAGATATCCCCCTAACATAGCTATAACTAAAAACAAACTAAAAACTACTTCCAAAAATATTCAGCTTTGATATTAATGAGTTTTTTGGGTTCATTGAGAACATGGTTGTTGTTCAATAATAAAATTAATCCTCAAAAATACAACTTGCCTAATAATTCTGCACTCCCTGTATATATATATAAATATATATATATATATATATATATATATATATACACACTCACACATATATATATATATATATATATATATACACACACACACACATATACACATACATATATATATTGGTCACTCAGGACCTGAACTTACATTTCCCATACTGCTGACTCAGGGCAGACACACTACTAACTTACCAAAGTGTGTCCCCAATATAGACAATCACCCACAAAGAACACTTAAGACAAACAAAGGTGACCAGGAGAAAGAGAAGTTTGGGGTATACTTATAGATCTATAAACCGTGCTCCTCAGAACACCTATATGGTCTCAAAACCTGTATCTACCTGAGATACCCTGTATCTATCTTAGATACTAACCTGGGTTACCAAAACCCTATAATAAACCAGAGACCTCTTATGGTCTCAAAAACCTGTATCTACTTGAGATACCCTGTATCTATCTTAGATACTAACCTGAGACCTTAGATAATAAACCGGAGACCTATTTACAATCTCAATATAACTAAAGTCCTTACACCTTTCCTTTCTACTGGATACAGACTTACTGAACCAAAGGGGCTCATAGACAATTAGCGTCAATAAGACACAAAAAGGCTACTTACCGCAATGGTTTTGCTGATCCCACTTCATGACACCAAGCTGAAAGGGTTAATGCTGTTCTGGACTCAACTCCCCTCGATTCTCCGGTCACCATAATCAATATTTATGGAGAATCATTGTTAGCAATAAAGACACGGACAACACAAATGTGCTTTTACAAGATTCTCAGTGAGTGTATTTTCAGGGCTAACATTTATACACAGTTTGTCATGCAAGCAGCGAGATTTATCACTTCATTAAAGTTAGTAGTACATACTTGTCTGACATTAAAAATATAAGCATTTGAATAAAGACGGGACAGGAACATCCTGAGGTCAAGCGAGGTCATACATCCTGTAGACGAAAGACCTTGGTACAAAATACATCTGCCAAAGTCAGCATAATTACTTCAAACATTATTTTAAAGCATATAAAGCAAAAAGAGTTAACCATTTCATGTCCTTACAGTCAGCACTAATGATTATAAACCTTATCTAAGCATAAAATACATATGAACAAGGAAAGTTAACTATTTCATATGCTTACACCGTAGAACAAGCGGCAAAGTTGGCGGACAAGCATCACGAGGGGAGAAAAGGAGACTCAAGTGGAGGTCGAAATATTGTTAGAACCTCCACTCCAATGCCAGGGCCTGTGACCGCTCCCAGGCTAACCCCTACACACCAGCACCACCTCTCAACAACAGACGGCCACCACTGCTATGTCACCAATGTAACCAGCCGGGACGTTATAAAATACATTGCCCGCAGCAGCGCAGAGGAAACTGGGACCGATCAGCATCACCACCACTGAGGGTGGCCGTGCATTATTA